TAAATTTAAGAAAAATAGAATACAAACATAAAGATTCTTTATACCTCTATGGTCCATTCCTTTAAAATACAGGTTTTCCTAAAATTTTAAAGTCCTAACCATAAATAACCTGTCTGGTTAAGTCTTCCGTTGAATTTAATAAATAGAATAGGAGTTCAGTGTCAAAAGATAAATGAAAATACATGATGTTAGCTATTTAAAAGTTTACTTACTTGCTTATTTCTGATTCCCCCATTTGCCATCCCTATTATAACTAAATCACAGAAAGTACTTAATATACATTCTTGGTAAAGGCATAAACATTAGTTGAAGGAACACTCTTAGCCCTTCTTGACATTATAGGATAATGTTTATTAAATGTCAGGCATTCTTCTAAGCTCTTTTACCTCTTTTAGTAAAAGGTATATATTATTATCTTTCTAACTTTGTATTAGAAGAGGGGCAAGATAAAGCTTGACTAGCATAAGGTTATCCAACTAGTAAAAGGCAGAGGAATGTGAATCTAGAAATTCTAGCTCCAGAACTCATTATCACAGTTTCTGCAACTGTAAGCCAAAGGAAAGATATCAAATTTCTCAAAATGACTTTCAACCTATGATTAATAAACAAAATAATTTCATATGTCATGCCTTTCCTCAAAGAAAATGTGCAGAGATGCTCTCTTTGTAAGAAACGTTAATAATTAAACATATGTAAATAAATCAATAATGTAAGATAGTCTTGAATAAACTATAAAATGTTTAATCCTTCAAGAGTCTGAGAGTGACTTACTGTTAACCACTTGTCAAAACTACCCACATGATAATCTTGACCACATTTTCTAATTTTTCCCAAATTAATTTTAGAAAAATTAAAACTGAATCATTCACCAATTCATTATTAATAAAAATTTTGAGTTAATTCTCCTTTGTGCAAATGCACATTTTTACCTTAGAAGTGAGAGGTGGCCAGAATTAATCTATTTGTTAGAGCACAGAAAATTATGTAGATGAGAAAATTAAAAAGATAAGAAAGTTAAACCAAAATTACTCATGCTAAAAATTGTCAACTATAAAAAATTTGAAATAAACAATATATAAAGTGCTAGCATACATTTAAAACCAAATGTGTAAAAATAACTATAGTTCTGAAAAAGATTTGTGGAGAGTAATATCATAATACCAAACAACAAAGCGATAAAAGAGCCCTATACACTGTATTTTTGACCTTGAAAAAACAGAATATTTTCTCATAACATTAAAATTTCATCAAATTTGGGGAAAAAGGTTTCCACTATTAGACTATAATTCCACCAGAATGATTATGACAATGTATTTCTTATATAAATTAAAGCCACAAACTAAGTTGTAATATGTTCAACTGATAGCTATTTAGAACAGAAATAAGGGCATTTACTTCTGAGAAACAAGTTAATAAAAACTATACTGCAATATGAGCTTCTATATTAGAATGGTTCAAGTAAATAGGACAGTGTGCTTTAAAATTCTAATTAAGAGAAACATTAAAAAGATCTGATATAAAATAAAATGCTATCAATTTAATGATAAAAGTATTCTAAAAAGTTTACCTCCAATGGAAAAATGAGAATTCTTATTTTTGCAAGGGTAGGATAAATAGACCTGGAGAACTACAGAATGCCAGAAACTTTTAATAAAAATGTAGTAAAAATATACAATTAAATGCAATGCATAAACACTGACAAAAGGGACACAGTTAATTCACAACAAGAGAATGGGGTATTTGAAAACAAATTAAAAGTTCTACTGATAGGACCACTTTGGTGACTTACAAAGCTATGGAACTCATATCTGTACCCTACAAAATAACTAACCTGATTGTCTCTCTTCTCAGCTAAGATATAAGGAATGTCAAGGAGCATTTTATTCCAAAGCCGATTAATCATATCTGGCAAACTGCCTTGTAACTGTCCATGCACATAGTCTTTGAAGCAGAGGATTAAATGTTCCTGCCCATTTTATCTAGTCCCCAAGACTTGTCCTGCAAAGTGAATAAAAATGATTATCTTTTAATCTATCCTCACAAACATACCATAAAAAGGGCAAAGATGAGAAGAAAAAAATCCTTGAATAAGTGGATAATTACTGTCCAGCTCAATATTAAGTTTTCTCTGTACTTTGTCTCACATTTTATACAAATGAGCTTTGGAAGATATGATCATTACTGTAGATATATGGGAATTACAGTAATATTTTGAAGTAAATTTAGAAAACGAACACAGGTTCTATCTTCTTAAAAAAATCAGTATAACCATGTTTATAACTTTTTCTTTTTTGATATCTGATCTTTAAAAATAACTTCAAATGCAAATAGGCTATATGATGACATCAAAGAGGTCAGGTGAAAATAAAATGGCATTCATCAAGCAGTTATTCAAGCTACCATGTAAACAGGTAAATAAAGAACTACAGGGAAAGAGGAGCTACTTAACTCAGAAGGAAGACAAAGTTATAATGAAAATATATTTAAGCATATATAACATCAGCAGACATAGACAACCGATGGGATAAACAGAGAAAATAATATAATAAAAATACTGAAAATGAGCCAATGGAGTGAGAACTAAAATGGAAAATCATAATATAGGTAGCTCAAATACAGAAATACATCATTTACATGGCATTGGCGGACAACTGCAAACAAATTACTGTCAGAAAATTATGACCTTTTTTTTTGTTTTGTTTTTTCCTGATGCTGGGATTGAACCAGGACTTTATGTATGTTAAGCATGCACTCTACCATTTAACAATACTCCTGGTATTGAGACAGTGTTTTTACGAGTCAAAATATTCTGCATATTTCTATAATATAATACTGTTTCTCTTCTAAATAAAGTATGTGACATATCTTTAATTTTACATGCAGAATTCACAGGTTTCTAGATTAAAGGTGGGTATGATACCCTAAAGAGATGCACCTATTGCTCTTTAGCTTGAGATGTGTAAATTAAGTTTTCCATCTTCTATTCTGTTGAGAACTGTCATTTCAAATACTATCATCAAGGAAGTATCTTAGGTTAGTCCTTCATTAATTTGGTGCTTCTTCTCTCCTGGCCCTTGGAAACCATACAATAACGTCAGTGTGAAGGCAAGTTAATTAATTTTTCTGATGAAAACTTTCGCTACTGAGAAGCAATTAACTTAGGTTAAAGTTTTATTTATTTCAAATTGATTTGTTGTTAGTGCATCTGACAACCAGGTAAATGGTAAATTACTGTATACACAGTGGAGAGAAAATAAGATGGAAAGGGAACAGGAAGTATTTTAAAAGAAAAAAGCAAAGAACAAATGTGTAAGATACTAAAGATCACGAAATTAGAAAAGAATCTGTAACATCAGACAATTTTCAAGTAATCAACAAAATTTTTTACAGTATCCTTTATAATATACAATTAGGCATCGGATTTCTTTCTCTCCTTAATGCTAAGAGTCTATTCTCGAAATCCAAAATAAATTTTTTTGTTGTAGATTCCTTAAAGAAATCTTTTCAACAGTAACTTATACTTTTCTTTTACCTTAAAAAAGATAAAATTGGTAAACATCTTGCTCTCCTCCTAATGAGAAAATGGACACTATCAAAAAGATTTTATATTAATTTGGTACAGAACTTCAAGAGAATGATAGACACTAACATGCATTTAACTCCATGGAGTAAGATAAAAAATAAAATTGGAAAAATAACCCAGAAAGTTAAGGATGATTCTAGATAGTACCAAATTTGGCTCTGTGCATGGGTTAAGTCAGAAAATGACATAATTTTATGACAAGCATTTGTAATGTATGGTCCTCAAAACACAAAGACTAGTATCACTTCTTTTTTGTTGTTTTTGTTAGTAATAGAGACTGAATCAAGGGGCACTCTATCAACTAGCTACATCATCAGCCCTTTCGATTTTTTTGATTTTGAGAAGGGGGTCTCACTAGGTTATCCAGGTAGGACCTGATCTTGTGATTTTTCCTGCCTCAGCATCCCCAAGTGCTGGGATAAGAGGCATATGCCACAGCACTGAGCTCAGTATCACTGTTAAATTCTAGGGGTCAGGCAAAGTAATCTGTTTCAACAAGCCTTTAAATAGATTCTGATGTATGCCAAAGTGTAAGAAATAATGTTTAAATAAATTAGATACACAAGATATTGAAATTTAAATGTAAAATAAAAATGCAGCTAATGAACATAAATCTGGTTTTGTCATGGCAATAATTGAGATGAACAGAGATAAAGTTATGGCTAATAAAAATGTTAGGAGTATTTAAATTAAATATGTTTATGTTTACATATGTGCACAGATATGCACACTCCATAAAATGAATGAAAATAGTTTTAGGTAAGCACAATTAAGGTCAAAGAAGAAAACCGAATTGCTAAATTAACAAAACTGTTTTGTGGAAAAACTGAGAAAAAAAAAGATTATATTTGGCTGACAAGTTATCAAGATAATTTAAAAAAAAATAAAGCAAAAGAGAAAACTGCAAATCTGTCAATCCTTCAGAATATCTATAGCATACCCTAATGAACTGATGTTAGAGATGTTACCTAGACATGTGTAAGTTACACAGCAGTAATTAAAAGAATGCTGTCTCACTAGGCAGAATTATTTCAAAAATATAAACAAATATTGACACACTTACCTATAATAACGATGAACAATAAAGCAAAGCAATTAAGTGGAGGAAAAAATACTGTAAATCTGGAATTTAGACTACTATTTAAAAGAAACTACTACAAAGGGTTTATCAAGAAGTATGGTATAATGATCTCTTAAAATGTTTGTTATAAAATAAAGACATGATATTAAACATTTAGACAGACATTTATTGATACTGGTTAGATATTTTCAATTTTTATTCTTAAGGCAAAACATTCAGATAAACGATGAATGTGTTGTCAGGAACACAGTGATTAGTTGAAATTGGTATTGATCTAAAAATGTTTTAATTAAAAAAACAACTAGATGAAAAGGAAAAGAAAAATTGCTTACTTACCAGCAAGGGTACTTGTATGTCTAAAAGCTCTGACCTGGGAGTCTGACAAACCAGTCAAAAGGGAGATTACTGTGTCCATCATATACTCATCATAAATTATACTATATTGACACTGTCGAATCAGGACTCCAATAAATTCACAAAAGTTTGAACGAAACTTTTTCCACTGAGGTCCAGGCATGGTAAGGGGATAATCACCACTGTCCTAAAAGGCATTAAAAAATATATTAAGTACAACATGATAGCAGATTAACCAAAGGCTTTGTTTTCCCTTTCTATATAGAAATCTTTTTTTTTTTTTTTTTTTGCCCAAAAGTTCATGTAGACAAATATAGCAGGTGAACCAAGCTCAATGGCACATGCCTTTATTCCCAGTGATCAGGAGGCTGAGATAGTAGCATTACAAATTTGAGGCTAGCCCAGAGAACTTACCAGGACTCTGTCAATTAAAAAAAAAAAGGTTGGGGATGTAGCTCAGTGGTAGAGCACTTGCCAAAAATGTGCAAGGCCTTCAGTTCACTCCATAGTACTGGGCTGGGAGGGGAGGATAAAGACAAAAACATGACTTTCATAGGTACACTGACTGTTTTATCTGTTTTCATTTTAAACTGCAACTAATTAACAACTAGCAAGGAGTGATGGTGCACATGTTAATATCAGCACTGGAAGGCTGAGGCAGAAGGATTGCTGTGGAGTTTGAGGCCAGCTGGGCTACCTAATGAGTTCAAGGCCAGCCTGAGTTAGATACTAAGATTCTTTCACCAGAAAAAAGAAAAGTACTTAAAATTATTATTTTAGAATCATTATTTATTTGATTGTTCTAAGCTTTTCATTCAAAATAAATTTCAGTTTGTTGTATAGGACCTTTATTGAAATAATTTAAAGTAAAAAAAAATTAAAAATAAAGCTTAAAAGAAGGATATTTAGAGCAAGGTAATCATAACTCTTGTGTTGCACAGCATCTTTCATATTTTTATAGATAAGGTCTCTACGTAGTTAAGGCTAGCCTCAAACTTGAGATCCTTTGTCTCAGTTTCCTGAGTGCTAGGACTATAGGTATGTGTTACAATGCCCGCCCTTAAACCGAATTTCTAAGACTGTGATTTTTGAAAGTATAAAGCCTTCTATTGAGAATTCTGAAACTTGCCTTTCACATCTCACATGCCAGCCTCATCAATTTTTCTACAAACTTGATCTTAATTCTATTTCACACAGTGGATTTAACTCTTCTAAGAAAAAATATAGTATAAGCTCTTGATATCATTAGACTGTGTCATCTTGTTTCAATGGGAGCTGAACTTAACTCAGAATGTAACAGGCACTGCAAAATGACACTTTTAGTTTTTTTTTAAAAGAGATATGCAACTTCTCCAAACTTCTTCGTGTTGAGCAAATAACCAACACCCTCTCCTCTCCTTAGACCAAATACCAGCTATGCAGATGCTGGTCCCAAAAGGTAAGCCTGGTTTCCTTTCTAGTAGAAAGAGGAGGATGAGCTCAAGATGGCTGAAAGTGACGAAGCAAGCCTGGAGGATCTGCATTATCTCTCTGTGCTCCCCCTCCCCTTTGCTCCTTACTAGAAAAGACCCTTGCCCACCCGTACCAAGTGAGTTGGTGATCTGAGGCAAATGGGTCCCTCCATCTCCTTGGGGCTAGCATGAATAAATACTTCATTCCTTTTTACCAAAATGTATGGCTTCCTTTGATTTGGTCACTGGCCAGTAAACACACCTAAATGTTAACTTCTACGGCTGGTAACTATTTCCCGCTCCTAAATATTTTAGGTACATATTTTAGGTACAAAATATTTACGTACATCCTAAAATATTTAGGTACACAAGTGGAAATTCAAAAGGCAAAGAGATGGCGAACACTTAAAATAAGAAAAAAAAAACCAAAAAACTAAAATTTTAATGAACTGTCAAAACACAAAGTGTGTGCTAGCTTGTCAGTGTGGACTAATGAGGAAAGCCTGCACTCAAAACTATTTTCCACAACCTCCTGGATGCAACAAAGCTTGCAGACTGGGTAGGAAAATAGAAATCTCTCTTGGAGAGGTAGCCCCTCAGGGGGTAATCTTCAACTGCTGAAGGAAAAATGGTAATAATCCTAGCTAGCTTCTCCAAACATTTTCCTCCTACAAATTTGAAGCCTTAATCAGGTAAGCGGATGTGTTGGTTTGGGGCTTATTTTTGCAAGGGGAACAATATAATACAGGACACATCTCTCGTATGATTATTTATAATAGTCACCCGAAGAACGACACACAAAAGAGTGCAGGAAATCTGTCCACACATTATAGTCCAAGAAATCTAGCTGAAGACCTGGATCCCACGGAAATGTCCTGCACGAGTGCAGCTGAAGGCCTAGAGCTCTTAACAATGCCTCCCACGAATCCAAGTGGAGGCTCAGAGCCCATAACAATATCTCATGCAGGCCTGTTTAACCAATCTGCACTGGGAAGGCCCAAAGGTCAGTGGTGGAACCCAGAAAGTCTGTGCCAGCAGGATGAAGGATCTGTGCTAGCAGGCTGAGGGATCTACACTGGAGCCAGGATGCGATGCTCAAAATAAGAACCAGAGCTCCCCTGAAAGGTACCACAGCCATCCTCAGCAACAGTGAAGTCCCGAGCTCCTCCAATGATCAAGATGACCGAGTTCCCATCAGGGAAGCTAACACAGCAAGCTTCTCCTGGAGGCCAGCAGTGCACCATCTTCCCCTCCAGAGCCAGGAAGCGATGCTCAAAGTGGGGACCAGAGCTCCACTAAAGTGAACTAAAGCCATTCTCAGTGCCAATGAGGTCCTAAGTTCCTTGGAGGATGAAAACAGCCAAGTTCATCAGGAAATCCAGCATGACAAGCTCCTCCAAAACAACCAACAGCTCCTTACAGCTTCTACCAGCTCCAACAATGTCTCTCAACTCCCAACAACCTTCTTCAGTTCCCCAAAGCCTTTCTTCTCCTTCTCCAGGTCTGCTTCTTATGCTGTTGGCAACAATCCCCAGGTGGGCCTCCCACACCCAGGACCGCCCTTACTCAGTTCAGCTGGGGATTATAAGCTGACCACCAATTATCAATCCACTACAGGGGAGGAACAGTAAACTGAGTTACTCCAAGGCATAAGCAAAGACCCACAAGTTGGGAGAAAAAGAAATTCTCTACTTGACAGAGAAAACCAAACATTGCCCAGGGATCTGAATCTCATACCACTATTAATCTGTTAGCCTTACAGCCGAGCGTGGTGGCACACACCTGTAATTCCAACACTCTGGAGGCTGAGGCAGGAGGATTGTTGTGAGTATGAGGCCAGCCTGGATTACAATGTGAGTGCAAGGTCAGCCTGAACTGCATAGCAAGACCCAGTCTCAAAAAGACCAAAAAACAAAACAAAAAAAAAACAAACAAAACAAAAAAGCCCAACCAACTAGGCTACATCTGTTAGCCTTGAGAAAGATCTAGAAAATTCCGACTCAAGGCCAAACACAGAAATAATAGGAAGACAGGAAAGCTGAAAAGGTTCCTTGGTGGCTCCAGGAACACAAGCACCATTAAGACAGGTAGGGCAAGGACAATAGATGCCCACATGACTCCATGCAACAAGCAACACGAACAAACAACGGGGAAGGAAAGAGGTGTGGCGAGTGATTTCATCTATGGCACAGCTGTGCAGGGAGAATAGAAGCTAGAGTATGAACATTAAGAAAAACCCTCTGTGTTGGGGGGGTTAAAGCAGGTGGCCTGAAGAACAGCTTCTCTGTTTACAACACACCCAAGAGGAATTTAGGGTCACTGTGAGAAGGGGTACAAAAACTTGCAACTTCCCTCTGGGCAAATGTCCTACACATGTACTCCATACACTTCCACATGCCTTCTGGATAGTACCAATGGGAAGGGCTCAGTAATAGGGAAAACTATAGTATTTAGTGAGGGAGGTGGACTTTTTTCTTTTTTTTTTTTTGGTCTTTTTTAGACAGGTATCACTATTCAGTTCAGGCTGGCCTTAAGCTCACTTTGTAGCCCATACTGGCCTTGCACTTGCAATGATCCTCCTGCCTCAGCCTCCTGAGTGCTGGGATTACATGTGTGCCCCACCACCCCTGGCTAGAGGACATTTTGAACCTGTCCAGTGTATCCATGGGTTATCTGTTGGTAGTACTAGAACTAAAGACTTTGAATTTCTATTTGCAATAAATTAACAACAATAATAATAATAATAACAACAGAAGAAAAGAAAACCCTCTAACATCTTAAGAATAAGGCAAAAGCAGTCCACATTATGAAAATCTGAAACCTAGGGTACATTAGAGGTAATGATAGCAACAACAAAACATGAACCTAGGCAAATTATTGGCTATATATTAAATGTTCATCAGTTTGTATCTTTTAGTCTTTGTACCTTGTGCAGAGATTAATATCAAAAGGAAAAACTTTTTTTTTTTTTAGAGACAGGGTCTTACTAGGTAGTTCAGGCTGGCCTTGAACTCACTATGGAGCCCAGGCTGGCCTCAAACTCACAGAGATCCTCCCTCAGCCTCTGGCGTGCTGGGATACAGGTGTGTGCCACCATGCCCAGCTAAAAGGAAAAACATTTTGGGAAAAGAAAACAATCTCCCATATCAAGAGTTTCTTATGGGCAATGAATTATTGAAAACTTGCTTCCTTCACAAAGAAATATTGTAATTTTTTCATGAGAGACAACTAACAGCAATAACAAAAGAGATGTAAATATCAGGTAGCCCAAATGTTTTACCCATAATTAATACTGTGATACTTAGGGAAAGTCATATGTTGATATTCTGAACAAAAAACTTTATTCAATAAACAAATCAAAAAGCAAATCATATCCAGTGAGAAACAGAGAAGTAATAAAGCAAAAGAAGTTTAGGAAGATTATCAAACAGAAATCCACAAGAAGGGTGACACAGTTAATAAACGCTACTAAAAAACCAATTCCTCCAACAATGTTCAGAAAATATGGGGAGGAAGAGGATCTCTGTGCAGAAAAATGTAATACAACTAGCATTTACATGAACTAGCATGTACTTTGAACATATATAATCTTGCACCCATGCACTGGTGACTATTGACAGAGATAAAGATGACAGAAGTAAGACTTTAAGAAAACAAATGATAAATTTACTCTAGATCTTAGAGCTACATGGTTCTGGAATTGTAAATTCCTGTACAACAGCACTTCCCACAGTTT